GCAGCGCTGGACGTGTCGAAGGGGCATCAACGTGGGGCAGCCACAACACTGCCTCATTCAGCGTGTGCATCTGAAACCCGAGTCACTTCAAGCAGAAACACTCGCTGCTTTCCTGGGCTGTGTGTGCAGTAAATTTAGTTTTTATAACGCTTCAGGAGGAAATTGCCGGCTCGCCATTTAGCTCGTAGATCCCCGGGGCCTCGCACTGGGATTTGGCCGGGTTCCACTGCGGTTCATGCCGCGCATTGGACCCGGGCCTGAATGTTTATCACCAGAATTGGCTGTAGCGGGGTCATGGGGGTCGACCCAATTGGTGGTCCTGTTTCACGAGAGCGGCGAAAGAGGGGGTCTCTGATTGGCCAGGCAGATATCTGTATCTCGTTCATCTCCTACATTCCCGGTAATTGCGTTCTGGTTTTAGAATTATATTTGCCAGCCAGAGTCCACAAACAAACAAGCTTAATTAAGTTAAGCGAACCCATTCTGACATGTCAGAAATAATCCGAGTCATGACTCACATGCGGCGAGAGTCTGTCTCCCTCCCCGGCCTCCATCTCTGTTCATCTTCTTCACGTCACTGAGATTTGCGGTCTTAGTCTCCTCTGTAATTAATCAAATATATTTATTTGTGAGTCTTTGCATGTTCTCCCAGTGTTTGCGCAGGTTTCCATTGCGGGGTTGTGGTGCCATCAAAAGTGCCCATAGTGTGTGATTTTCTGTCTGTACCCTACAACGGAGTGGCATCCCATCCAGGATGCCCACTGCCTTGTGCCCTATGCTTCCTGAGATGGGCTCCAGTCCCACTGAAACTTTTTATTGAATAAGGGTTTTGGGGATGGATGGGTGGATGGATGGATGGATGGATGGATGGATGGATGGATGGGTGGATGGATGGATGTACTGCTTATACACACAGAGAACGAAGTTCCGTTGTTGAAGACTCACTGTACTTCTGAGATCACCTGGCTAAAGCACACCCCCCTCCCCCTTTTGTGTTGTGTAACCGACAGGGACCTGAGCGAGAACCAGATCCAGGCCATTCCTCGCAAAGCCTTCCGGGGGATCACTGCTGTCAAGAACCTGTAAGTACCACCCCAACCCCCTATGTCCATTTAGGAGGACATTTCTCAGGCTGTGTGTAAATAAAGTCAGGTGACCACACTGTCTTTCCATGACTAATACTGTAGCAGGTTAGGTATCTGATTTCGTCTAGTAAACTGTGAGGCTAATTTAACAAGTTTTTCGATAAAGGAGAAATTAGACCCTGTAATAAAAAGACTTAATATAAATTTTTGAAGTCATTTTGTTATTTTATCTTCAGTCTTAATTATTTTTGCAGTCCACAATCCAATTTAGACATGCATTAAGGCCAGATGAATGTGTTAGAGACAGAGACGTAGCCACAGGAGAACTTCACAGAGTTTTAGCTACAGAATGGAAGTATGCTCAGGTCGGGGAAGGGGGGCAGGGGAGCCAACGTTCGGACCCTTGGCACAGGCCAGGAAACACTGTGCTTCTGGCTGCCAAAACACAGCTGGGTCCGGAAACAGGCCTGGGTGGGACCGGGAGTGATCCCTCAAAGTTCGTACAAGACGCTTTGTTGAAGTTACACTTCATGGTGTGATACTTCCCTTGGTAACTAAGCAGCGAAATCCAAGGGGCCCTGTGTGTGGGTGTGTGTTTGAGCCCATTGAAAGTGCATTTAGGGCACTACCTTGGACCTGCTGTAGGTCTCTCATCTTCCACCTGGACCTCTAAGCATGTGACAGTCAGATGGGGGCCACCAGAGCTCAGCGCTACTCTTCACAAGCGTGTGCTATTGCATTATCTGGCATTAATCTCATGCTCCTCTCCAATATGGCCTTAATGCACATCTAATCTGGACTGTGGAATGGGTGATTTAATATTTAGTGTAGTGACCAATAGGGGGCCTCACGGAAATATGAGGCTTTAGTTTTTATAAATACCACCCTTCCTTATTGTGCTTTTTGAGCACAGTGTCCAAAAGTTAACAGCAACACCACAGAACTTCATCCACTTCAGGACCCGTGGAAGGACAAGTAGGGGTGAATTACTCTGGGGGTTCGCAGTGATGGTGATGAATGTCCTATGTCCTTATTGTCACTCCCCGGGCCCTTCGCCTACCGTCTTCCTCTTCAAGCCCACTGCCCCATCATTCTCCTTTACCTGTGTCTGTCTCCACATTAGCAAGCGCTGGCCTACTTGGGGGGGGGGGGTCTGCATTACGTTATACGTTGGCAACAGTCAGATGCCACTGACCATTCCAAAAGACACATGAAGAGATTCACGGTCCCACAGAGAGAAAACGGGGCTTTTGTAGTGGTACTCTGGGGAGACAATGGACAGTGTGGAGATCTATGGAAGTTGGAGGTCTGCGTAGCCTGCTGAGATCTGCAGAGACTGAAGGTCCCTGACCTTGTGGAGATCAGTGGAGACTGGAGGTCTACGGACCTTCTTGAGATCTGTAGGAACAGAAGCCTCATAGTTGAGCTATGCCTCAGATGAGACCAGTGCAGAGTGATTCACAGGTAAATGCGAAGACGTAGCTGCCCCTGAAATGGATTGGGCCACATTCACAGGTGTAACAATCCCCTTCAGCCCCCCACGCTGAGATAAGCTCATAAAAAGCCTGCTGGTGTCACGCTCTCCTACCCAGAATGCCGTGGCAGCCGCAGTCCCTGTGAGTTATGGTGTTGCGGGCGATAGGAGCAGCAGGTTTTACGAGCAGACAGGAAACCGCGGTGCTGCCAGCGCCCCCTCGTGCGCCCCCCCCCCCCACCATCTCTCAGCCCTTAATGAGCCATGGTGAGACTCGGTACCGTGTGCTATCTTTGAGTCCTGTGTTCCCAGGTTGACAGTGGTGGGGGCTTGGGACCTACGCCTGCCCTCTCTCCCCCCTCCCCCCCGCAAGTCTGCTAGTGCCTCTTATCACTGGGATTATCAAAGGCTACAATAATTAGATTAAGGGTAATTAAATTTCAGTGTTCCGCCCCCCCACCCGCCAACCATGTACACTCATCCCTTGATATGTTCATCTCTGTTCAGCAACGACATTCAGCAGACCATCAAGACGACCATCCGACTGGCCAAGCGAGGTGGTCTCCAGGCGACAGGGAATGTATAATCAATAGGCAGACAGTACTAAGTGCGGGGGGGGGGGGGAGCACATGGGTGATGGCCACCTTAAAATCTGTGTGGGCTCCTTGGACGGCTCTCCTGCACACACTCAGCACCGCCATCCAAACCAGCTCCATCGACTGATGCTACATCAGGTTGTGCAGCTGATGCTGACCTATTGATCCAGCTGGGGAAGCCTTTTTGGGATCTGAACCCACATCCTGCAGATGCAAAGTCTGCAGGGCCACAGCTGCTGCTGCCCCAGAGCTGGCATCATTGAGATGACGGACCCATCTAACAGAAGAACAGGATTTCTGTTGTATTTCTGGTCGTCATACACCCAGCATGTTGTCCCAGCCCCCACTGCAGGATGTTAACCCTGAACAGTTCCAGTCACTAAGGCTAACTCTCCCCCATCCTCGTTGTTGTTCAAATAACTGGAATCACAGGGAACCTCAGCACCAGAAATGTCATCAGAAGTGAACCAGTTGAAGTATGAGAAACATCCTCTCTGTTTACTGGTATCGATTATCAGTGACCCCAGAAAGTGCTTTGTTGTTTTCCACACTGGTCCCCTCTTGTCCCCAAGGCAGGAACTGTCCAGATAGGACTGCAGAAAGATGGGGAGCCAGTTTAGGGGCACAGGAGGTGTAACAGGCAGACTGAGATGGAGCATGATCTTGGTACAGAGGGCGGGAGCTGGGAAGCTTCCTGTTGGGTCCGATCGCCATGGAGACTTCTATCAGGGAGTCACACCTCCCCCCCCCATGGCTGTTACGGAACCTAATAGGACAATTTTTTGCATTTTTCCCCTTCACCATCTGTCCCATTCTCTGAGGAGGTGTGGGAAGGTGGCCACTTAGGCCTGAGGATCAAAGTGACGAAATGGGAGGTTTGTAGCAGGAGAGCATCCAGCGGCAAGGCAAAGCTGATTTACAAACGTGCGCTTCCCTTTAATGAGATTGTTGCAGTGACGGCCGGTAAAAGCGCCTAATGGATTGGGCACCCTAATGTAATGAAACAACTGCCATTCCCCTTTTCAAAATCGGGAGGGAGGGAGGGATGCAGAAGGATAGAAAATGAATACATAGAGAGGGCTGACAGTGTGAGGGGCTGTGCACCACTGCCAGCCTCTCTCCCTTTCCCTCTCTCTCTCTCTCTCTCTCTCTCTCTCTCTCTCTCTCT